TTTCAATTATTTGAGATGCACTTATTTTATTTTTCCTTCTTTTCAATATACTTTTTTTGCTTGTAGATACAATTTTGCATCACCTTTTCAGATTAATTTTTCTTTCAAATTTTCTCTCTCTACTTTTTATAATTTCTTGCAATAAAAAATATTTTCAAGCAGCAATTTCATAATTATTAATTTTATTATTATTATTTTTCATCAGCACTCAACACAGATTTATATTTTGAATTATGTTGGCAATATTTTTTTCTTGCTCTCTTGCTCTTTTGTTGTGATAAATTCAATATTGATTTTATTTTAGATATTTTCAAAAATTTATTTAATTTTATTATTTTCTACACAAAACTATTTTTTTGTTTTTCTTCCTCTTTATTATTATTATTTTGTTGTAATTTTATTTTGAATAATTTGTTTTTATTTAAATTGTTTTAATTATACATTTTTTTTCGTATTAATTTATTTTTTCCTTTTTACTGCTGCTGCGGCTGCTGATGCTTCTTCTGCATTTTGTTGTGCTGCTGCTGATGTTGTTATTATTTTTATTTTTGTTGTTATTGTAGTTGTAGTAGGTTTTCTGCTGCTGCTGCTGCTGCTGCGGATGATGTATTTTTCTTTTTTCTGCCAGTTGTTGTTATTATTATCATTTGTATGCATAGATGTATGTATGTGTGTGTGTTTTCGTTTGTATGTACAATATACCAGTCGTCGCACAATCAAGCAAGACCGTTTATTGTTGTTGCTGTATGGCTTTTTATTTTATTCTTTCTTTTTCTTCATTTTATTTTTTTCATTCTTACTTTTTGTGTGTGTGTGTTTTTTTGCTTTTCTTCCTCTTCTGCTTCTTCGGTATTGTATTTATTTTTCTTTTTGTTAATGGAGGCAAAAACGTAGAACACAACGCGTAACGTAACCGCCTTTAACGATGCATATTCATCGCTGTGTACTCAATGACTGATTTTCTTCTAAATTCAAAAACACTCAGCACAAAATTGTATCTGTCGCAGTGCCGAGAGTGAGAGAGTCTCATTAACCGAGAGAGAGAGAGAGAGAGTGTCAAATGCCCATCGAGTAGTAAAACGACGGCGCGAAAAATGTTTACCCAATTGCCAGAAGATACATGAGAGCCGATGAGTGTGCCGGAGATACATTTTGTGGATTGTTTACCATTTATTGTGCTCCACAACGGTGTGGCTAATTTGGTGTTTTTTTCAGGTGGTATTGGGAAAAAAACGCCAAATTAAATAATGAAGGGAAAATAAGATTTAAAATGTGGAAATGAAATTTAAGCTTTAAAACATGGTATAATAATAGAAGGTAACAGCAAGTGTTGTTGTACAACAAACGATACAACAACCACATGGAAATTTGTTTTTGTAAGTTATACTAGTGTCAACGTCGTTTGACAGAAAAATGTAAACAAACAAATAAATTATATTTATTTTGAAAATAAAATATTTTCGAATCCTCAAAATAAATTTTGAAAAACATGAATGAAAATCTATCAAATTCATATTTCTATCGCTTCCACAACTTTCTTATAATTGATCTATTGCCACTTATATGTGTAACACATATGAAAATGCAGGGAATTGCGAGTTATTCAATGAACAAGGATTTGCTTCCTTAAACTTTCCCAACAGGCATATTGAGTAAAATGAATACGTGAGGACATTTAATAAAGAACAATTTCGAATTGTATGCGTTCCCAATTTTCCTGTTGGGTGATTTTTAAAAACATAATTTGTCAAATTCATATTGACACTAGTTGGAATCAAATGACACGTTGGAATCAAATCAGCTGGGACTTGCTGTTACCTTTTATAATTGTACCATGGCTTTAAAAAAATATTTAAAAAATCCAAACCCTAAAAAATATTTTTCTTTACAAATTCGATGCCAAAAAAATATATTAAAAAACTTTGTGCTTTTTTAAATACGCCATGGAAAAATGATAGTAACAATTCATCCTTTGTTAATTTTTTTTAACAACAAAATTTAAATTGAAGCCTGGATTTTTTTTTAATTTCACACCTTATAAAAAATATTTTTTTAAAGTCCAATCTTTAAAGTTTAAAATATTCACATTCAAAACATGTTTTTAACTCCTCGGGTTTATTTTTTATATTACACGCCTTAAATAATATATATATATATATATATATATACAGTGGTGGTCACAGAATTAAAACATTTACTGTGGTAAACATTTTTTGATGAGCCCTCGATTCGTTTGAAGTATTTTTGAAATTTTTTTAATTCAGAACACTTCGATATACTGCACTTAAGAGATTTAGTGTGAAAATGGAAAATTATTGCATGCAATTTTTCCATAAATAACGGTTTTTACGAAAATACGTCGACTTTGAAGTGGCCATATAATTAAAACATTGTGTAATTTTTTACTTTACTACATTTTTTGCAAAATATTTTTAAAAAAGCTCTTTAATTTAGTTAAATTATGTAAACTAAGCACCGATAAAATCATTTACGATAAAAATTTTTGAAAAAAATTGTAAAATCTATCAAAATTGCCAATAATTTGTACAGAACACCTTACATTCAGAAAATAACCCTTATTATAGAAAATAAAGGTCCGAATGCACCAGAAATTGCTAGAATTAGTAGAAAACAATAAATAATTCTCAAAATAAATAAATATTTGAAATAAAAACTGAAAAAATATGAATTAACCTAAAAGAACGACTCAATTTCGAAAGCCTTTATTGAAGAAGGCCCGAATATTTTTGCAGTATGTGAGGAAATATCGATTGATATTGGCATTTATTATACCAAATCGATTGTTCGAGTAGTACAGAATATATTTTATCAAAAAATATATCAGTCACACCAGAATGAACAGAGATCAACACTTATGTTGACGAGAAAACGTTTCTGGTACACAGCAGCATGTTTGATGGTTAACTCTTGACCCTTAAAATCTATTGAACATGACAATATTTTTCCAAAATAATATTTTTTGAATGGAATAATGCCTATTTAATCTATTTTAGCCCAAAAGAAAGAAAAAATTTACAATTTGACAAATATTTAAAGTCTTGTGTTGAGCATCAAAAATGCTGCTGTGTGGCAGAAACTTTTATTCGTCAACATAGGCGTTGATCTCTGTTCTTTCTGTTGTGACTTGTACATTTTTTGATAAAATATATTCTGTACTACTCGAACAATCGATTTGGTATAATAAATGCCAATATCAATCGAAATTTCCTTACATACTGCAAAAATATTCCTGCGTTCTTCAATAAAGGCTATAGAAATTGAGTCGTTCTTTTTGGTTAAATACCATTTTTTCAGTTTTTATTTCAAATATTTATTTATTCTGAGAATTATTTATAGTTTTCTACTAATTCTAGTAATTTCTGGTGCATTCGGAACTTTATTTTCTATAATAAGGGTTATTTTCTGAATGTAAGGTGTACTGTACAAATTTTTTGCGATTTTGATAGATTTTACAGATTTTTTCAAAAATTTTTGTCAATAAATGACTTTATCGATGCTTAGTTTACATAATTTAACTAAATTAAAGAGCTTTTTTAAAAATATTTTCAAAAAATACAGTAAAGTAAAAAATCACACAATGTTTTAATTATATGGCCACTTCAAAGTCGACGTATTTTCGTAAAAACCGTTATTTATGGAAAAATTGCATGCAATAATTTTCCATTTTCACACTAAATCTCTTAAGTGCAGTATATCGAAGTGTTCTGAATTAAAAAAATTTCAAAAATACTTCAAACGAATCGAGGGCTCATCAAAAAATGTTTACCACAGTAAATGTTTTAATTCTGTGACCACCACTGTATATATTTAAATTCCACAGTCAGAAAAAAAAAATTTTAAAAAATCACGCCTAATTTTTTTTTAATTCACTGTTTGAAAAAAAATTTTTTTAAAGAAAAATATTGTGTTTACGCCTTGAAAAAATATATATTTAAAAATCGAAGATTTAATAAAATATTTTCTTAAAAAATCGAAGACTTGAACAATTTTTAATTTTAAAAATCGAAGCCTTGAAAAAATATTTATTTTAAATCGAAGCCTTAAAAAATATTTTGTTTTTAAAAATCGAAGACTTGAAAAAATATTTTTTAAAAAAATCGAAGCCTTGAAAAATATTTTATTAAAAAATCGAGGACTTGAAAAAATATTTTCTTAAAACATCGAAGACTTGAAAAAAATATATTCTTCGAAAATCGAAGCGTTGAAAAATATTTTCTTAAAAAATCGAAGCCTTGAAAAAAAAATATTTTTTTTAATCGAAACCTTGAAAAAAATTTTCTCAAAAAATCGAAGCCTTAAAAAAATATGGTTTAAAAAATCGAAGCCTTAAAAAAATATGGTTTAAAAAATCGAAGCCTTAAAAAAATATGGTTTAAAAAATCCACGCCTTAAAAAAATATTGTTTAAAAAATCCACGCCTTAAAAAAATATTGTTTAAAAAATCCACGCCTTTGAAAAAATGATTTTTAAAAAATCCACGCTTTTGAAAAAATGATTTTTAAAAAATCCACGCCTTTGAAAAAATGATTTTTAAAAAATCCACGCCTTTGAAAAAATGATTTTTAAAAAATCCACGCCTTTGAAAAAATGATTTTTAAAAAATCCACGCCTTTGAAAAAATGACTGTTATCCCCGTCAAAAATATATTTTTTAAAATCCGTTATTTCCCATTTAAAATATCTTTTACGTTACGTTCACCACTAACTCCCTGTAAAACACAACCGTGTGCTATCATTTCATAATGAATGCGAACTGTAATTATCTTCGCTTTGTTTTGATTACTCATTCAATCAATCAATCAATCAAGATTTTTTGTGACAAGACAAAACAGAACGATTTCCCAATTAGAAGTGGTGGAAGAAGACAAGAAAAAACAAACATAATTTCGTGGCACCTCCAGCAAAACAGCGACAGCATCCCTCTAAAAGAAAAGATAAGAGAAAGATTACGAACGAAAAACCTTGTGGCCAGACGGCAGCAGCTCGAGTAACGCACAATGGCCAATCTCAAAGATGATTTGGATCAGTATCTGCTACTGCAGAGTGAACAAAAGAAAAAATTCAAAGTGCCACAGTTGAAGGTGCCGGAAAAATTTGGTAAAATATTTCGAAATAGTGAACCGGAGGCCAACAGTTGGCTGAAGGACACCCAGGATAGCTGTTGTCCAAAACTGGTAAGTAGCCTCTTTTTTCGAAAAATTAAAATATCAAAATATGTTTTTTCTTTCTCTCTCCCCTTATTAGTCACGCCTGCAACGCATTGTCGGCTTTGTGGCCTGCCTTGGCATGGGCACTCTCTGCATAACCATATCCCTGTTCTACATTCCTGTCCTCTTGCTGAAGACGCGCAAATTTTCATTACTCTACACGCTGGGTAGTTTATTTTTCATTTTGAGTTTTTGTTTCCTCTCCGGATTTTTGGCCTTTTTCAAAACACTTTTTACCAAACAAAGAGCCCTGGTGTCATCGACATATTTCAGTTGTATGTTCGCCACCCTATATTGTGCCCTATGGCTACAGAGTACTGCGTTGACGGTACTCTTTGCCCTGGCCCAAATGATTGCCTTGGCCTTTATGGTGGTGGGCACTGTGCCGGGTGGTGCTACGGGTATGAAATTCTTTGGTTCCTTATTTAAGAGTAGTGTAAGTTCATCGGCGAGTTCGAGTGCTTTACCGGTTTAAAACCGAAATCGAAGAAAAAACGTAGTTTCGAAGTATTTTTTTTTTGTATATATGTAGTTTATAGAGTCGGATCGGAGGACATACCGCCTGCTGCTGATATTCTTCTCATTATACACGATTTTTTCCTATATGAAAAATTTACGAAATTTTATGCAATTTATATACATACAAACACACACACACGTCATTGTCATTGTAACATAAATAAAGATATTAAAAATGGAAAACAGTTCGGAAGATATTCAATCACGCTGCCAAATGATGTGTTTTTTTTTTTAATTTCAAAGGCTAAGAGAGGTCTAGGGATGACTATATGATTGATAAGGACTTTTAAGGAGGTCTAGGGGTATTCTAAAGATCTCAAAAGAGTTCTGGAGAAAGTCGAAGGATCTCTTAAGAGGTCTAGAGGCTTTCCAAGGGTATTAGAGGGGACCTAGAAATATTCTAGGGAGTTCTGAAGAGGTATAAGGAACCCAAAAAGAGGCCTAAGGAACCCAAAAAGGGATCTAAGGAACCCCAATAGAGGTCTACATGCATTCTGAAGATCTCTAAAGTGGTGTAGTAACATTCTAAGGACCACCAAAAATGGTCTAGAGAAATTATAAGAATTTCTAAAGTCGTTTGGAGATTTTCAAAGGATCCTAAATAAGTGTAGGGAAATTCTAAAAAGCTCTAGAGAATCTACAGAGATTTTATAACATTTTAAAGAGGTTTGTAGACATTCTAATGGCCTCTAAAGAGGTATAAGGACATTTTATGAATATCTTAACAAAGTCTGGATATAATCTATAGAGGCCTAAAGTTATTCTATGGATATTTAAAATCCCTACAGTGGTCTAAAGAAATTTTAAAGATGTCTGGTAACATTCTAAGGGTCTCTAAAGAGGTCTAGGGACATTTTATGGATATCTAAACAGAGTCTGGAGACTATCTCCAGAGATCTAGAGTAATTCTAAGGGTCTTTAAAAAGGTCTAGAGATGTTGTAAGGAGCTCTAAATAGGTCTAAAGGGTTCTAGAAGAATTCTGAGGGTCTCTAACGATGTTAAAAGACAGTCTGAGGATATTCAGGGACATTCTAAGGATATTTAGAGATTAGATATAAAGATAAATTTTAATGATATTTAAGGAGGTCTCGAGAAATCCTACGCATAGATCCGTAGGCTGTCTAGAGGTCTAGGGACATTCGAAGTATCTTATAAGAGGTAAAGAGCTATTCGAAGAATCTCCAAAGTCCTGTTGTAGTCTCTAAAAAAATCAAAACATTAAAAAAATTGAAATAATTAAAAAAAATCAAAATATTTAGAAAATTTTCAAAATATTTCAATAAAAAAAAATTATTCAAAATATTTAAAAAAATCTATTCCCAATTTTTTTTAATAGAAATAGTTTCACAAAAAATGTTTTTCGAAAATTCAAACTAGAGCCTCAAAAATATATTTTTGAATCCATGCCTTGCTAGTGCCTCAAAAATTGTTGTTTAAAAAAATCCACGCCGTTTTTTAATTACGCCTTGAGATGATCTTTAAAAATGATTTTTTTCAATTTCGGTATGATATGATCTCTAAAAACGTTTTTTAATAATCCACCTCTTGATATTGTTTCAAAAAATTCATTTATAAAAAACAAAGCGTTGAAAAATAAGTTTTTTTAAAAATTTACGACTCTTGTTGTCAATTAAGAAATATCTTTCGTTGTGAACCCCCTTTTTGTGTCTTTACAGACGGCATCACATTTGGCAGCTTGTATGAGACACCCTGTTTTTTAAACATTCTTTCTCTCTGATAACAACATTGCTATTTGTTTTCTTTTACATTAAACGGACAAGACAAACGCGGTGCTGCTGGAAATTATTTTAGAAAAATAATAAATTTTTATATTAAAATAATATTTAAATAACTCATTTTCCTCTCCAACATGGCCAAAAGACCCGGTTCCAGTCTTGTATTGGCCCAAGAGCCAAAGAAAACGAAAAGTGATTTGGTGGCCTATACAAATCGTGACAAGGCCTTAATGGAGGCGGTAAGTGGTGGTACCACAACAAATGGAAATTTATAATTAATTGTTAATGGATTTTTCAGGGTGTACGCCGTACCTCAAATCTCCAGGCACCCATTATGCTACTCGAGGGTCATCAAGGAGAGATTTTTACCACAGAATTTCATCCAGAAGGAGAAATGTTACTATCCTCAGGATTCGATAGGCAAATATGTAAGGGGGATTGTAGGGAGGAGTGTGAAGTAAAAGTATAAATATTTTTAATTTTTTTTTCAGATATTTGGAATGTCTACGGTGATTGTGAAAATATTTTGGCAATGTCGGGGCACACAGGTGCCGTTTTGGAAGCCCACTTCAACACCGAGGGATCTCAAGTGTTCACTTGTTCTACCGACAAAACCGTGGCCATTTGGGACATTGGCACAGGGCAGCGAGTGCGGCGCCTTAAAGGCCACACAAATTTCGTCAACTCCGTGCAAGGTACACGCCGTGGCCAGCAAATGTTGTGTTCCGGTTCCGATGATCGTTCAATACGTATTTGGGATGCTCGGAAAAAACTTGCCGCCCATACATTGGATGCACCATTTCAAGTGACCGCAGTAACATTCAATGACACCTCCGATCAAGTGATTTCCGGTGGTATAGATAATGAAGTGAAGGTATGGGATATACGTAAACAACAGGTGTTACATTCGCTGAAAGGGCATACCGACACAATAACCGGATTATCTTTATCTCCTGATGGTTCATATATTCTATCAAATTCCATGGATAATACACTGAGAATTTGGGATATACGCCCCTATGTGCCGGGTGAGCGATGTGTGAAAATTTTCCAAGGACATCAACATAATTTCGAAAAGAATTTATTACGTTGTGCCTGGTCACCGGATGGTAGTAAGATATCAGCTGGTTCAGCGGATCGTTATGTCTACGTATGGGATACAACCAGTCGGCGGATACTCTATAAACTTCCCGGTCATAATGGTAGTGTTAATGATGTCGATTTTAGTTCTAAAGAGCCGCTGATTGTATCCGCCTCCAGCGATAAAACTTTGTATCTGGGTGAAATAGAGGACTAATAAAAAACAATGGAGAGCGATGAGAGATGTGTAATAAAATCTGAAGAGTTTTATATTTTGTGGCTTGGAGGGGAAATTTGAGATGGTCTCCTAAACATATTCTTTAAAAAATCCTCCACGCCTTGAGATGGTCCCTAAAAAATATTGGGATGGTCTTTAAAAAATATTCTTCAAAAAATCCACGCCTTGAGATGGTCCCTAAAAAATATTCTTCAAAAAATCCATGCCTTGTGATGGTCCCTAAAAAATAAAAAATAAAATCCCAGCTTTGAGAAGGTCTCTAAAAAGTTGTTTAAAAAAAATCCACGCCTTGTTTTGGTCCCTAAAAAATATTCTTTAAAAAATCGTCCACGCCTTGTGATGGCCCCTAAAAAATATTCTATAAAAAATCCACGCCTTGTGATGGTCCCTAAAAAATATTCTTTAAAAATCCACGCCTTGTGATGGTCCCTAAAAAATATTCTTTAAAAATCCACGCCTTGTGATGGTCCCTAAAAAATATTGTTTAAAAAATTTGGCACGCCTTGTGATGGTCCCAAAAAAATATTCTTTAAAAAATCCTCCACGCCTTGTGATGGTCCCTAAAAAATATTTTTTAATAAATCCACGCCTTGTGATGATCTCTAAAAAATATTTTTTAATAAATCCCCGCCTTGTGATCTCTAAAAAATGATTTAAAAAATCCACGTCTGGTGATGATCTCTAAAAAATGATTTAAAAAATCCACGCCTTGATATGATTCTAAAAATTGACAATTTAAATCCACCGGATTTACTAAACCCAGTTAAATGTAAATTCACTATTACATCTTATAAAAAATGCATCCTTGTTACGATCAAACCCATTTACGTAGCGTTAAGCGTCCAGTAAAAAAGCTTTGTTATGGTGCTATCAATGCACAGTGAATAAATACAAAATAAAAACATTGAGTAAAATATTTAGACTTGTACTGTAATATTTCAATTATTCCAATTTGGTATTTCAGCTGTGGGAGGGGAATGCCTACCACATCCCAATATAATGTGATTTTTCGAAAAAAAAAATTAAAAAATTGTCCTCAAATACTGCAACATCATAATAACTCCAAATGGTCATTCAAAATGAATTGATAACAGTTAGTAGAGTAATTGTCTACATAACGGAACATCAGTTAGGCAGAATTAGTGATTAACGCATTACAGTCGTCAAGTGTAAAATATTTTCCACAATTTATTCACTTTTAATCATTATTAACTAAAAGTATTTAAGTAATCGATTACATTTTACAAATTTATTTATCAATTAAGCAATCATTTTCTAACCAAAAAGCGCCAACAATGGCTGTCAATTTCTGCATTACGTCATTTTTCTAAAACGACGACACATTACGTTATGTCTTCACTAACTAAGCTTTACTGTGACGCTGTCAATGCAAAGTGACAAGAGAAGAAGAAGCAGCAAATGGCGTTCATGTCCAAGTTTGAATTTCTTGTGAAAAGCTGTTGAATGTGAGATTTCTTCTGAATAAAAGTGGAAAAATTAAAGAATTGTGAAATTACATAAAAGTTTTGGTAAGTCATTTTGATATTATTTATATTCTATATGAAATAGTTTTAAGTTTTATTAATTTCTATAAGATTATCGTACATTAAAAACTATAGCAATATTCGAAAGGGGATTCTGTTGCGTAGCCTCCTTTGGCTATCAGAAAATCGAAAAAAAATCAAACGAAGAAATTATGAAATGAATACATCTTTAATAGGTAATGCGTAAACGGGACTAGGGACTAAGAATCGAAAACTTACAGTCAATTTTATTGGAAAATACGATCATGAAAATATCCAGTATGTGTGGGGGCTATTGAAAATGGTAAATTTTTGGATGGTTATGTGTGGGGGGCTACATCAAAAGATGGACCTATATTGAAACTGACAATGATGCGGTACCATTGTGACTTTAATATACACACTTCATTTGGAAAGTCGACCTATGATCCTTAATAATAGCAATTATTTACCAAGCTTTGTATTGCTGCAACAACCAAAGTCGGATCAAAATTCATAATTTTTGGCAACATAATTTATATGTATACTAATGAGAACCAAAAGTATGAAATTAGAGCCAATTTATGTCGGAAAATTCCAGCAATTTCTTAAGAAAATATTTTTCTAAAAATTGTATTTTACAAAATATTTCAGGGAAACTTTGACAATCTCACAATAGGTATATACTAACTTCAGGATACTTCACCAATTTGAGTATATTCAAGAGATTCATGATTATAAAATTTTGTGGGCATATTTTGGGTCTTTACCATATTGGTTTACAAATCGGACGAAAATATATATGGAGCTATATATAAATCTGAACCGATTTTCAGGAATACGTTAGTTTATACCAACACAGTACATGCCAATTTGAAGCTGTGATATAATTCAGAAACTATAAATTATTCAAAAAATTTCAGTGAAACTTTCCTCACAGTAGGATATACTAACTTCAGGACGTTATGCAAAATTTTGTGGTAATCGGCCATATTTTGGGGCATTGGTGCACCATTTACTAAAAATCGGATGAAACTATATGGGAGCTATATATAAATCTGAACCGATTTTCAGGAAACTTAGCACACATCATTCTGGATATAATTCAGTAAATTTTTGCAAAATTTCGTGCAAATCTAAAGATATATGTATAGGGATTTAGGTGCCTCATTTACCTTAAATTGGTCGATTGGTTGATTCTTGGGCCAAATAAATGAGCTGTGCCAAATTTCATTCAATTCGGATCATAAATGCGACCTGTACTTTGTTTACAATTTAACATGGACGTAAATGCGACCTGTACTTTGTTTACAATTTAACATGGACTGAAGGAAATGCATAAATCGACTCAGAAAGTGATTCTATGCATATTCTCAAAAGGAGTCATGGGTCTATCTCGATTCCTTTTGCCTGTTACCCTGGTGAAGGGTACAAAAATATTAGAAAAATTTGGTAGACTTAAAAAAATACCTTGGTAGACCTTAAAAGAAAAATACCTGCAATACTATCTGCTTTAAAATCCACGCCTTGTGTTGATGGTCCCTAAAAAATATTCTTTAAAAAATCCACGCCTTGTGTTGATGGTCCCTAAAAAATATTCTTTAAAAAATCCACGCCTTGTGTTGATGGTCCCTAAAAAATATTCTTTAAAAAATCCACGCCTTGTGTTGATGGTCCCTAAAAAATATTCTTTAAAAAATCCACGCCTTGTGTTGATGGTCCCTAAAAAATATTCTTTAAAAAATCCACGCCTTGTGTTGATGGTCCCTAAAAAATATTCTTTAAAAAATCCACGCCTTGTGTTGATGGTCTTTAAAAAATCCACGCCTTGTGTTGATGGTCCCTAAAAAATCCACGCCTTGTGTTGATGGTCCCTTCTTTAAAAAATCCACGCCTTGTGTTGATGGTCCCTAAAAAATATTCTTTAAAAAATCCACGCCTTGTGTTGATGGTCCCTAAAAAATATTCTTTAAAAAATCCACGCCTTGTGTTGATGGTCCCTAAAAAATATTCTTTAAAAAATCCACGCCTTGTGTTGATGGTCCCTAAAAAATATTCTTTAAAAAATCCACGCCTTGTGTTGATGGTCCCTAAAAAATATTCTTTAAAAAATCCACGCCTTGTGTTGATGGTCCCTAAAAAATATTCTTTAAAAAATCCACGCCTTGTGTTGATGGTCCCTAAAAAATATTCTTTAAAAAATCCACGCCTTGTGTTGATGGTCCCTAAAAAATATTCTTTAAAAAATCCACGCCTTGTGTTGATGGTCCCTAAAAAATATTCTTTAAAAAATCCACGCCTTGTGTTGATGGTCCCTAAAAAATATTCTTTAAAAAATCCACGCCTTGTGTTGATGGTCCCTAAAAAATATTCTTTAAAAAATCCACGCCTTGTGTTGATGGTCCCTAAAAAATATTCTTTAAAAAATCCACGCCTTGTGTTGATGGTCCCTAAAAAATATTCTTTAAAAAATCCACGCCTTGTGTTGATGGTCCCTAAAAAATATTCTTTAAAAAATCCACGCCTTGTGTTGATGGTCCCTAAAAAATATTCTTTAAAAAATCCACGCCTTGTGTTGATGGTCCCTAAAAAATATTCTTTAAAAAATCCACGCCTTGTGTTGATGGTCCCTAAAAAATATTCTTTAAAAAATCCACGCCTTGTGTTGATGGTCCCTAAAAAATATTCTTTAAAAAATCCACGCCTTGTGTTGATGGTCCCTAAAAAATATTCTTTAAAAAATCCACGCCTTGTGTTGATGGTCCCTAAAAAATATTCTTTAAAAAATCCACGCCTTGTGTTGATGGTCCCTAAAAAATATTCTTTAAAAAATCCACGCCTTGTGTTGATGGTCCCTAAAAAATATTCTTTAAAAAATCCACGCCTTGTGTTGATGGTCCCTAAAAAATATTCTTTAAAAAATCCACGCCTTGTGTTGATGGTCCCTAAAAAATATTCTTTAAAAAATCCTCCACGCCTTGTGTTGATGGTCCCTAAAAAATATTCTTTAAAAAATCCACGCCTTGTGTTGATGGTCCCTAAAAAATATTCTTTAAAAAATCCTCCACGCCTTGTGTTGATGGTCCCTAAAAAATATTCTTTAAAAAATCCTCCACGCCTTGTGTTGATGGTCCCTAAAAAATATTCTTTAAAAAATCCTCCACGCCTTGTGTTGATGGTCCCTAAAAAATATTCCTAAAAAATATTCTTTAAAAAATCCACGCCTTGTGTTGATGGTCCCTAAAAAATATTCTTTAAAAAATCCACGCCTTGTGTTGATGGTCCCTAAAAAATATTCTTTAAAAAATCCACGCCTTGTGTTGATGGTCCCTAAAAAATATTCTTTAAAAAATCCACGCCTTGTGTTGATGGTCCCTAAAAAATATTCTTTTAAAGATCCACGTATTGTGGGAAGTCTCTAAAAAATATTTTTAAAAAATCTACGCCTTGGTGGTCTCCAAAACTATATGACAGCCACCTGTCACCAAAGTCTCTTCGTTTACTGCCCTACCACGTTTCCTTGGCAACAAAACAAATTCAGTTCTTTATTCAAATAGCAATTTGATTTTATAAAATTTATTTAATTCCGTGCCCCCCAAAAATGGTCTCCTGCATTTGTTTGGGTCCCAAAAGATCGGGTAAAACCCATTTACTAAAAGCTCTACAAGACACCGAACAAATCGATGATAATTCCTATTCGACACCAACAATTGGTACAAATATTTATAATATTGTCTTTCCCATTGATACAAATGGTGATGATAATAAACCTAAACCACCACCACCGAAAACTTCGGAAGAGGGTAATGGTGAAGCTACTAATACGAAAAAGAAAAAAATACCACCCTTAAAATCTATAAGGGTTTTGGAAATTGGTGGAGCTATGGCTCCTATTTGGCGTCAATATTTTAATGATGTTAAAAAATTGATGTATGTTGTGGACACTTCGAATTTGTGTCAGATATCGGCAGCAGGTGAGTTGAGGAAATGATGTATTTTTTTCTAATTTTTAATTAATAAAATTTAATTTAAAATTTTTAGGTGTCCTCTTCTATTCCATATTGGCTGAGCCTCGTCTGCAAAAGGTACGCATATTGTTGGTCCTCTCCAAAATGGATTATGCCTATCGTCAAATGCGTAATGAGGCCTTGCTGATGTTACAAATGTCGAAACTGCAAAAGGAAATACGTCAAAATATAACAATAATAGAAGTTAGTCCTGTAACCCGAGTGGGCTTAGATGGAATTTATAATTGGTTGAAAATTCCTTAAATAATACCTCAAAATATTATTACAACTTTATTTTCAATGGACATCAACAATAAGAAGACAAAATATACAAAATTATAATTTATAATGTTCATCCATATATTTGAGATTTGTTTCGACTTCTTCCGATTCGGGCATAACATCTTTGGCGGCATTCAAATAGGACTTGGCCTTTAAAATATCACCCGTATAGGCAGCCAACACCGAGAGATTGTTGAGGGCTGCTCCATTTCTTGCGTCGGATGTTAGACAAAGTTGTAGACAACGTTTAGCCAAATTAAAATCTCCGGTGGTCTGTGGGCAAACATTTCAAGAGAATTTTGGAATTAGGATTTCTTTCTCATTAGAAGATTTTGTCTGTTACTTACAATTGCCACAAAGCTGAGGTTATACCAAATATCCGCTTTTTGTTCGGAGGTCTTGGCTGTCAGTAAGGCCCGTTGAAAGCAGGGCAAAACCAATTCAATTTGTCCACCATATAAACAACAGAGGCCTATGTTACAGTACAGTTCACAGGAATGGACTCCCAGGGATAAAATTCGTCTGAAAAAAAAATTAAGAAAATAGTAGATTTTATTTGAACAATATTTTTGGAACCTTTATGAGCCTCTAGCAAGGTTTGGATTATTTAAACAAGATTTTTGGAACCTATAATAGCCTCTAGCAAGGCGTGGATTATTTAAACAAGATTTTTGGAACCTCTAGGAGCCTCTAGCCAGGCGTGGATTATTTAAACAAGATTTTTGGAACCTCTAGGAGCCTCTAGCCAGGCGTGGATTATTTAAACAAGATTTTTGGAACCTCTAGGAGCCTCTAGCCAGGCGTGGATTATTTAAACAAGATTTTTGGAACCTCTAGGAGCCTCTAGCCAGGCGTGGATTATTTAAACAATATTCTTGGAACCTATAAGAGCCTCTAGCAAGGCGTGGATTATTTAAACAAGATTTTTGGAACCTCTAGGAGCCTCTAGCCAGGCGTGGATTATTTAAACAATATTTTTGGAACCTGTAATAGCCTCTAGCAAGGCGTGGATTATTTAAACAATATTTTTGGAATCTATAAGAGCCTCTAGCAAGGCGTGGATTATTTGAACAAGATTTTTAGAACCCATAGGAGCCTCGTGGATTATTTAAACAAGATTTTTGGAACCTATAAGAGCCTCTAGCAAGGCGTGGATTATTTGAACAAGATTTTTAGAACCCATAGGAGCCTCGTGGATTATTTAAACAAGATTTTTGGAACTTTTAGGAGCTTCTCAATTAGGCGTGGCTTTTTTAAACAAAATTTTTGGAACCTGTAGTAGCCTCTAGCAAGGCGTGAATTATTTAAACAATATTTTGGGAACCTATAAGAGCCTCTAGCAAGGCTTGGATTATTTAAACTATATTCTTGGAACCTATAAGAGCCTCTAGCAAGGCTTGGATTATTTAAACAATATTTTTGGAACCTATAAGAGCCTCTAGCAAGGCTTGGATTATTTAAACAATATTCTTGGAACCTATAAGAGCCTCTCAATAAGGCGTGGATTATTTAAACAATATTCTTGTAACCTATAAGAGCCTCTGACAAGGCGTGGATTACTTAAACAATATTTTTGGAACCTATAAGAGCCTCTAGCAAGGCGTGGATTATTTAAACACTATTTTTGGAACCTATAAGAGCCTCTAGCAAGGCGTGGATTATTTAAACACTATTTTTGGAACCTATAAGAGCCTCTAGCAAGGCGTGGATTATTTAAACAATATGTTTTTGGAACGTGTAATAGCTTCTAGCAATAAACGATATTTTTGAGACCTATACGAGTCTCTAGCAAGGCGAGAATTATTTAAACCATATTTTTGAGACCTATAAGAGCCTCTAGCAAGGCGTGGATTATTTCAACAATATTTTTCGAACCTATAAGAGCCTCTAGCAAGGCTTGGATTATTTAAACAATATTTTTCGAACCTATAAGAGCCTCTAGCAAGGCTTGGATTATTTAAACAATATTTTTGGAACCTATAAGAGCCTCTAGCAAGAAAGAAAATTTTTGGACCTCTAGCAAGGCGTGGATTACACAAATAAAATTTTGGAACCTCTAGCAGATTGACTATGTGTAGATTGGGGTAGATTTTTAAAAAAATATTTACGCCTTTGGTTTTATATTTTTTAAGATTTTTTTTTTCGAATTTGTATTCGTGACCTACCTATAATACATCAGCGCCATTTCCGGATTATTATCATAGAAATAATTCAAAGCAATGCATGCCAATGCCTCAACGTTAATCGGATTCAATTTTGCTATCAGACGATACATTTGCATAGAATCCTCCACCTTGGCCATGGCGTCCAACAGCCGACCCTGTTCAATGCGAAATGTAACATCGAAAGGATGACGATCCACTGCCGATTGTATTAACACCATTGCTTGATCCAATTGATCCAAACGCTGATAAAGTCGTGACAATAAAATATAGGTGTCAGGATGTTGAAAATTTGTCAGCGACTGTTGTAAATAGGATTCAGCTTTGCGGGGATATTTTAATGCCAGCAGGCAACGACCCATTTGTTGTTGCCACCACCATTCATCACAGTTAGCCAGAGAGCGCAGCGATGCCGAAGAACCTCTTTTTTGTTTATGCACCTCCATTACAGCTTCGCATAGGGAATATGCCTTTAGGACATCTGCCTCATGATAATAGAGAAATTGAAAGAGAGCTTTCACCAGAACTTTACGTTCTGCATAGATTGTGGGATTAAGGCGTGACGCCTGATACAGTGGAGCTGTGGCATCACCTATTGTAAAGGCCGCAGCTGAAGTTGCTCTCACTCGTGAGGCTGTGCCGCAACTTGAAGCGGGTCTACCACCACCCATTGAAGAACCTGGACGACTTAGGCCACTAGTACCGGGCCGTGCCTATAAGCATTTTATTAGAGATTTCAATTTTTCTATTCATATTCAACTTACCATTCCCGATGTTGGCCTACTGCCTAAGCTGGATGTTAAGCTTCGCTTGGTAATTCCACTTTCTGCCGTTTTCTGGCCTCTTCTTGACATTGCTGTTGAACTGCGTAGGGTACTTGTACTGGGCCTTGGTATAAAGGCGGTTTTTATCGATGTTCCCGGTCGTGCTGTTGTGGCTATTCTTTCAAATTCAACTTCTTCGTTGACTGGAAAAAAAATATTTAAAAAAATTTCAAGGATTAAAAAATAATATTGTGAAGCCTCTAGGAGGCTCTAGCTATGCGTGGATTATTTTAAGAATATTTTTGAAATTTCTAAGAACCTATAGGGTAGATTTCTTACAGAATATTTTGGAACCTCCACGTCTTTGTAGAGCCTCCCAACAAAGACGTGGATTATTTAAACAATATTTTTGGAACCTCTAGGAGGCTCTACATAGGCGTGGATTATTTAAAGAATATTATTATTATTCAACGAATATTTTTGGAACCTCCAGGAGTATCTAGCCAGGGGCAGATAAAATATTATGCAAAAAAATTTTCAGAAAAAAGTGTCATCTAATATGAAATTATGACCACCAGCATAACTTTTAACTGCCACAACTAAGCGAATTTATGAGTGACGCGGGAGAAGAAGCAATCACCGGCAATAAACCGCCTGACATTGGCCGGTGGCAGCAGCATCAATGATGACCATCCAATAAGCATATTTTATGGAAACAATAACAGGCAGGAGGAGGCCGAACAAAAAAATGCATTCCATCCGACCACTCTTCGTATAAGAAGAAGAGGACGGACAAAGTCATTGATGTGAAATGTTTATGAAAAGATAGAATTTTATTTTACGATGAAAAACCACAAAGTAATAGAATCTTCCTCTTTACTATGTAGCGAATGGTGGTGGTTAAGAGGCCGGCCTGTTGGACGGACGAAAAAAAGATTTGCTGGACAGATTGTAACTTCGCAGGATGGTGGATTTTTTTCAGCTACGGTTGGCTTTTGGAATGGATGAATGACCGTTGTGGTGATTTCTTGTCATACTCTCGAACCCATGAACTTCGGCGAACCTGTCTGTCGGTTAAACATAACAATTACATGTGGAGAGGATGGATGTATGTTTGCTGAAAGAAACAGAAACACTTATACTTAATTATGATGATAAACACATAAACCTTAACCTCAAAAGGAATTTAATCCAACAATATGACCGACATTCCTGCCATTGCTAGCCATCACCACCACCATTACCAACCACCAGCAACATTATCATCATCTTCACTAGTCAAGCTTAAAATTCCTCATTTTTTCGATTAACAAAAACAAAAATGAGGAGAACAAATTACAACAGAGTAGAGCCTCTCAAAGGCGTGGATTATTTAAAAATATTTTTTAAGCCTCTAGGAACCGCTTAGCATGGCGATAGCGACATTAAGTGGACCTGAAACCATTGGTTGATTATTTAAATAATATTTTTCGGGCCTCTATGAACCTCTCAATTAGGGGTGGATTATTTAAAGAATATTTTTCGAGCCTCTAGGAGCCTCTCAATTAGGCGTGGATTATTTAAAGAATATTTTTTAAGCCTCTAGGAACCGCTAGGAGCATCTCAATTAGGCGTGGATTATTTAAAGAATATTTTTTGAAGCCTCTAGGAACCGCTAGGAGCATCTCAATTAGGCGTGGATTATTTAAAGAATATTTTTCGAGCCTCTAGGAACCTCTAGGAGCCTCTCAATTAGACGGGGATTATTTAAAGAATATTTTTCGAACCTCTAGGAACCTCTAGGAGCCTCTCAATTAGGCGTGGATTATTTAAAGAATATTTTTCGAGCCTCTAAGAATATTTTTTGAAGCCTCTGGGTGCCTCTCAATTAGGCGTGGATTATTTTAAGAATATTTTTTGAAGCCTCAAGGAACCGCTAGGAGCATTTCAATTAGGCGTGGATGATTTAAATAATATATTTTGAAGCCTCTAGGAACCGCTAGGAGCATCTCAATTAGGCGCGGATTATTTAAAGAATATTTTTCGAACGTCTAGGAACCTCTAGAAGCCTCTCAATTAGGCGCGGATTATTTAAACAATATTTTTGGATCCTCTAGAAGCCTCTCAATCAAGCCTCTTGGAACATCTCAATTAGTCGCGTGGATTATTTAAAGAAAAGTTATGCAGCCTCAATAATCCACGAATTTGAAGGTGCGGCTGTAGGGTATAAAGTTTGGTTTTTTCTCTCTGCCGACTCCAAACCACATTACAGCAACCGCCGTCATGTTGACGTTGCTGAAGAAAAAAGTGGACATTGGGGATGTAACCAACCGTGGTGCCTAGTGGCGGCTAGTAATGGTATGCCAGCTTAAAAACAACAAAAAAATGTCGGGCTTTAGAATGGAATTGGTCAACAAGTTGTTGGTAGGAGGAAGGAAAAAGAAGAGTAGGGTAGGGGGTCTTAAAGGTTTTTTTCGGTGGAGGCACGCATCCAAAAAGTATGCACATATTTAAGTTGATGCCAGGCCAGGTTGGGCCATGCAATGCCATGCCATCCATGGCCGGCCGTTAGCAGTCGTTCTCGTCGGTCGCCGGTCGTCTTCATCATATCGTAGTATATCTTTATTATTGTTGTTGCAGTTGTGGTTGTTGTTATTGTTGGTATATAGTAGTAGTACTGCCCACATTCCATTCTGTTCAATCACCTTGAAAAAATCTTGAATATCTTTGGGGTTTTTTATTGTTATTCGGATGCCGGATTTTTTTGTAATTTTCATTGGTGCTGCTGCCGCTGTTCTTCATTGAAAATCTTTATCACTACAAAAACAAAAAGAGTGCAAAATTCTATACGAATATTGTTCTTGTTGTTGTCTTGTAAATTTTTGTTGTAAATTGTTCTTATATTTCTAGAGGTTCCAAAAATATTGTTTAAATAATCCACGCCTGGCTAGAGGCTCCTAGAGGTTCCAAAAATATTGTTTAAATAATCCACGCCTGGCTAGAGGCTCCTAGAGGTTCCAAAAATATTGTTTAAATAATCCATGCCTTGTTGGAGGTTCTTAGAGGTTCCAAAAATGTTGTTTGAATAATCCGCGCCTTGTTAGAGGATCTTAGAGGTTCCAAAAATGTCCTTAAGTAATCCACGCCGTTCTGGAGGCTCCTAGAAGACCCAATAATATTGTATAAATAATCCGTATCTTGTTAGAGGCTCTTAGATGTTCCAAAAATGTTTAAATAATCAACGCCTGGCTAGAGGCTCCTAGAGGTTCCAAAAATATTCTTTAAATAATCAAACTAGAGGCTCCTAGAGATTCCAAAAATATTGTTTAAATAATCCACGGCTACTTGAGGGATAATCCACGCCTTGTTAGATGCTTTGGAACCAAAAATATTGTTTAAATAATCCACTCCTTGTCAGAGGCTCTTAAAGGTTCCTAGAGGCTCGAAAAATATTCTTTAAATTATCAACGCCTATTTCAGAGGCTCCTAGAAGTTTTAAGAGCCTCAAAAGATATTCTTTAAATAATCCATGGCTAATTGAGAGGATCCTAGAAGTTCCCAGGTGCTCGAAAAATAATCTTTAAATAATCCACGACTAATTGAAAGGCTCCTAGAGGTTCTTAGAGGCTCGAAAAATATTCTTTAAATAATCCACGCCTGATTGAGAGGCCTCTAGAGGTTCTTAGAGGCTCGAAAATTATCCTTCAATGATCCACGCCTATTTGGGATGCTTCTAGACTAATTGAGAGGCTCCTAGAGGTTCTTAGAGGCTCGAAAATTATTCTTTAAATGATCCACGCCTATTTGTGATGCTTCTAGACTAATTAAGAGGCTCCTAGAGGTTCTTAGAGGCTCGAAAATTATTCTTTAAATGATCCACGCCTATTTGGGATGCTTCTAGACTAATTGAGAGGCTCCTAGAGGTTCTTAGAGGCTCGAAAATTATTCTTTAAATGATCCACGCCTATTTGGGATGCTTCTAGACTAGTTGAGAGGCTCCTAGAGGTTCTTAGAGGCTCGAAAATTATTCTTTAAATCCACGCTTATTTGAGAAGCTTCTAGAGGTTCGAAAAATATTCTTCAAATAATCCACGCCTAATTGAGAGGCTCCTAGAGGTTCCTAGAGGCTCGAAATATATTCTCAAAATAATCCACGGCTAATTGAGAGGCTCCTAGAGTCTGTAAAAATGTTCTTTAAATAGTTCACGTCTTGCTAGAGGCTCTTAGAGGTTCCGAAAAATATTCGTTAGATAATTTAGATCTCTCTAGGGTCTTTAAATAATCCACGCTTATTTGAGAAGCTTCTAGAGGTTCGAAAAATATTCTTCAAATAATCCACGCCTAATTGAGAGGCTCCTAGAGGCTCGAAATATATTCTCAAAATAATCCACGGCTAATTGAGAGGCTCCTAGAGTCTGTAAAAATGTTCTTTAAATAGTTCACGTCTTGCTAGAGGCTCTTAGAGGTTCCGAAAAATATTCGTTAGATAATTTAGATCTCTCTAGGGTCCTTGAAATAAATTTATTTGCCGGATCTTTATAATTGTTACCCTTGTTTTATGGTTTTATTTTTAAAAATAATTTTGAAATTTCCTCCTTTTGTACACTTAACATTGAAGCAAATTCTACCCAGAAAGTACCTGCCTGCCCTGCCATGCCATGGTTTTTAGGTGAGTTGCATATTTTCTTGAAAATATCAATTAATTCTCGGTAGCAGTTATTAAAAAAGCCCATCATTAATTTTTATTTATTTTTTGGTTGCTTTTTGAGAGAAAGCCCTGCAGGGCAGCAGACTAAGGAGGAGTGCAGTCTACATACATACCAGCATCATCGGCATCATTTGTTTCCAAGTCATCAATGTAGATGCGTTGCGTAAGTGCGCGCATTTTTAATTGCCAAACGCCTTCCATCATCCACGTGTGCATAAAACTAAAGGAAGCTGCTACTCCGCCTCCTCCTGAAGATGAGTTCAAATTTGAGGTGGACAGTGAGGCTGCAGAGCCTGTGGTTACTGCTGCTGCTACTGGATGGTTGGCGGTGTTGTTAACATTGTTGCCATAAATTCCACGTTGCTGCGGCTGTCTACCCTTGATGGCGCCCATGCGTTGCAAATTGCTACTGTAACGTTGAACGACATTGTTGTTGTTGCCACTACTGTGGTGGCTACTGTTGTTACTACTGACACCACTACCCCAACCACCACCACCAGTTGAGCCGATGATGTTATTGGTCTGCTGCTGCAATACCCCAGAAATATTTCTGTAGTTCTCCTCCTTCTCCTCCTGCCAACCATCCTCCTGGTCCGGTGGTGTCTGAAACATTTGGACATTATTTTCGTGACCTGCTTGCAACATTGCATTGCACACCTCAACACATTTTTCATAATTTCGACGTCGGTATAGGGAGACAGCTTTAAAGTATTGCAATTCCAGGCTAGCCAATGATTTCTCAATGGTGCTGGGTGCCGTCGTCGATCTCTGGAGTAGAGTGGTAACATCAGACATTATTGTTGTTGTTGTTGCCTCATCATCATCATCTGGTGGAATATTATCATCATCATTATTCATAATATTTGTTTTAAATTCCTTGGAATGTCGGATTGTGGATGGCGGTCCCGTCGCCGTCGCCATCATTGTTGTCAGAATAATTTCTCAGGAGGAGGGGTTATGATTTTTCTTTCTTCACTTTTTTCAAATTCTTTGTTGCTTTTTAAACGTCCTTCGAATTGTGGCAAATGTTCAAACACAGAAGAAGACAAAAAGAACAACAATTTTCGGAATTGATTGATGGTTTTGGCCCTTTCTTAACTTGACTGTGGTTCCACCGTTCTTTGGTTGTCTACCTTCTTTGTTTTTATTTTTTTATTGGAATTCACAAGACCGGATGTTGAACAATTTCTCTGGTTCTTTTTTCCTATGGATTTGAGTCATTTCAAACAAATGTAAAACGCAGTTATAATTTTTATTAACATTTTTTTACGAAAAAAATCTCTTCTTTTTCACATCCCGACGATTTTGTCATAACTAATTGGCTAGCGTTTTTGTATTTGTTGGAGCTTCTTTTTCCTTTGTGAATGACCACAAATGCTATGGATTTCTGGTCGCCATGGCGACCCTCCTTATTAATGTACTAGGAATGATGGACATATTATTTTAGTCCTGAGCAACAAATAGTTAAGGGTTGAAAATGTCAGTCATAAAATCTAATTAAGTGGTTTTATTTTATTCCAACTAATCATGACAACAAAACCCCCAAATGTCCAATAAATGATATTGGTGACCTTTGAAGTCGTGGTGGACACTCATTCTAGGTCATAAAAAATAAAATATATTGCAGAAGGCTTCTAAACCTCCTAGAGGTTCCAAAAATATTGCTTAAATAATGCACGCCTAGTTGAAAGGCTCCAAAAAATTCTTTAAATTAGTTACGCCCTTCCAGAGGCTCCTAGAGGTTCCAAAAATATTCTTAAAAAAATCTACGCCTTGCTAGAGGCTCTTAGAGGTTCCAAAAATATTCTTTAAATATTCCACGCTTTGCTAGAGGCTCTTAGATGTTCCAAAAATAATGTTTAAATAATTAAGAGAGGTTCCAAAAATATTCTTTAAATTAGTTAAGCCCTTACAGAGGCTCCTAGAGGTTCCAAAAATATTCTTAAAGTAATCTACGCCTTGCTAGAGGCTCCTAGAGGTTCCAAAAATATTCTTAAAGTAATGTACGCCTTGCTAGAGGCTTTTAGAGTTTCCAAAAATATTCTTTAAGTAATCTACGCCTTGCTAGAGGTTCCAAAAATATTTTTTAAGTAATCCATGCCTTGCTAGAGGCTCTTAGAGGTTCCAGAAAATTTCTTTAAATAATTCACCCTTTGCTTGAGGCTCCTAGAGGTTCCAAAAATCGTGTTTAAATAATTAAAAGAGGTTCGTAGATGTTCCGGAAAAATTATTTAAATAATCCATGCCTTGCTAGAGGCTCTTAGAGGTTCCAGAAAATTTCTTTAAATAATTCACCCTTTGCTTGAGGCTCCTAGAGGTTCCAAAAATCGTGTTTAAATAATTAAGAGAGGTTCGTAGAGGTTCCAGAAAAATTATTTAAATAATCCACGCTTATCTAGAGGCTCATAGCGGTTCCAAAAATCGTGTTTCAATAATTAAGAGAGGTTCGTAGAGGTTCCAGAAAAAATTAGTTAAAAAGTCCACGCCTTGCTAAAGGCTCCTAGAGGTTCCAAAAATATTGTTTAAATAATATACGCCTATCTAGAGGCTCTTAGAGGTTCCAGAAAAAATTTTTAAATGATCTACGCCTTGCTAGAGGCTCCTAGAGGTTCGAAAAACATTCTTTAAATAATCCATACCTAGTTGGGAGGCTCCAACAATATTTTTTAAATTAGTTACGCCCTTCCAGAGGCTCCTAGAGAGGTTCCAAAAATATTCTTTAAATATTCCACGCCTTGCTAGAGGCTTTAAGAGGTTCCAAAAATAATGTTTAAATTATCTACTCCTTTCTAGAGGTCCCTAGAGGTTCCAAAAATGTTGTTCAAACATTTAAATAAACCACTCCTATTTCAGATGCTCCTAGAGGTTCCAAAAATGTTGTTCAAATAATTAAATAAACCACGCCTATTTCAGAGGCTCCTAGAGGTTCCAAAAATATGTTTTAAATAAACCACGCATATTTCAGAGGCTCCTAGAGGTTCGAAAAATATTCTTTAAGTAATCCACGCCTAGTTGAAAGGCTCCTAGAGGTTCCAAAAATATTCTTTAAATAATCTACGCCTAGTTGAAAGGCTCCTAGAGGTTCGAAAAATATTCTTTAAATAATCTACGCCTAGTTGAAAGGGTCCTAGAGGCTCCTAAAATATTGTTCAAATAATACACGCCTAGTTGAGAGGCTCCTAGAAGTACCAAAATATGATTTAAATAATCCATACCTTGCTAGAGGCTCCCAGAGGTTCGAAAAATATTCTTTAAATAGTCTACGCCTAGTTGGGAGGCTCCTAGAGACTCCAAAATTTTTTTTAAATAGTCTACGCCTAGTTGGGAGGGTCCTCCAAAAGTTTTCTTTAAATAGTCTACGCCTAGTTGGGAGGCTCCTAGAGCCTCCAAAATTTTTCTTTAAATAGTCTACGCCTAGTTGGGAGGCTCCTAGAGCCTCCAAAATTTTTCTTTAAATAGTCTACGGCTAGTTGGGAGGCTCCTAGAGCCTCCAAAATTTTTCTTTAAATAGTCTACGCCTAGTTGGGAGGCTCCTAGAGCCTCCAAAATTTTTCTTTAAATAGTCTACGCCTAGTTGGGAGGCTCCTAGAGCCTCCAAAATTTTTCTTTAAATAGTCTACGCCTAGTTGGGAGGCTCCTAGAGCCTCCAAAATTTTTCTTTAAATAGTCTACGCCTAGTTGGGAGGCTCCTAGAGCCTCCAAAATTTTTCTTTAAATAATCCACGCCTTGCTAGAGGCTCTTAGAGGTACCAAAAATATTTTAGAGGCTCCTAGAGGTTCGAAAGATATTCTTTAAATTATCTACGCCTTTCTAGAGGCTCCTAGAGGCTCAAAAAATACTTTTTAAAAAATTCACGCCATGTTGGAACCTCAAAAAAAAGGTTGGAAACCCAAAAAAATAGTTGGAAATCCAAAAATTTTTTTTTAAAAATCCAATCATGAGAAATTATTCGAACACAAACCATAATAGTTGAACAAAATAATCACACAGTTAATCATTTCAAATACCTCCAAAAGATATGCAAATATTTGAGTAATGTTGTTGTCGTTGTTGTTATACATTGAGAAGCTATTAACATGTTTTTATACCGCCCTCTCTGAAACATTGTCCCGCCAGCTGCCAGCCATATGAAAATTAATCATGGCTGAATAAAAATAAAACAAAACATAAATAATTAGCATTTCAGATTTGTTAACAAATTCAAAATAAAAATAAAAAACAACTTGAAACTATTTTAAGGAATTCAAAACAAAGGTGACTTCCTAACCTCTAACCTCTCAGACGGGTGGAGGGGATTCCCAAACTTTTTTCGTATATAATTTATGGTTTGTTTTTTTATTATGGAAGAGAATTAATTTTTTTTAATCTGCGGCAGTTTAGAACTCAGGATCGTAGATTAAAGAAATATTTTTTTTATTTTTTAACCCACGATTTAAAAAATGGACTCTAGAAAAAACACACTTAAAAATAATATAAAAATCGACCCCACGGCAGACCCGAACCTTCGAAAAAACTGCATATTTTTAATCCTCCTTTTTATACAAGTATTCAATAAAGTATGGGTTTCTATTTCAAAATAATTTATATCCAGCCTTTAAAAAGAAATTTTTGATAAATAAAAACATGACGTCTGTGGGAATTACAACAGGTCCGTCGGTCGTATATTTATTTAAAAAAATCATCAAATAAATAAATGTTGATATTTGAAAAGTGAATCATATCACCGAGGAGGAGGAGGTAGGTGGTATATCTTGGAGTGTCATTCGTAAATATCAGTCACCATGTCAGCCAGCCACTAATTCTAGCCAGTTTGGCATATTTGATTGACGACACACCCATCCGAATGTGATAAACCCTATCACCCACCTCTATACGTTCGTTATCACCTCTTATTATTATTATTTTTTTTTTTTTTTGAGGAGAAAAGGGGAGAGGTATTTAACTTCAATGATTAAATTGATCGGTTTATGGCATGTCACCTCACCTAACCTCATACATATCTTTCGATTGGATGGATACTTGCTATTAATATTTAATTTATGGGGGGTATGTATTTTCAAGTTGACACAAATAGTTGACTTTATTTTGATTTAAAAACAGTATAGCATTTTTTCAAAGCAAAAACAATAACAACAAAAAAAAATTTGGTGGACCCTCAAAAATATTCTTTTAAAAAATCCACGCCTTTGGTGGACCCTCAAAAATATTCTTTTAAAAAATCCACGCCTTTGGTGGACCCTCAAAAATATTCTTTTAAAAAATCCACGCCTTTGGTGGACCCTCAAAAATATTCTTTTAAAAAATCCACGCCTTTGGTGGACCCTCAAAAATATTCTTTTAAAAAATCCACGCCTTTGGTGGACCCTCAAAAATATTCTTTTAAAAAATCCACGCCTTTGGTGGACCCTCAAAAATATTCTTTTAAAAAATCCACGCCTTTGGTGGACCCTCAAAAATATTCTTTTAAAAAATCCACGCCTTTGGTGGACCCTCAAAAATATTATTTTTAAAAATCCACGCCTTTGGTGGACCCTCAAAAATATTCTTTAAAAAAAATCCACGCCTTTGGTGAACCCTCAAAAATATTCTTTTAAAAAATCCACGCCTTTGGTGGACCCTCAAAAATATTCTTTTAAAAAATCCACGCCTTTGGTGGACCCTCAAAAATATTCTTTTAAAAAATCCACGCCTTTGGTGGACCCTCAAAAATATTCTTTTAAAAAATCCACACCTTTGGTGGACCCTCAAAAATATTCTTTTAAAAAATCCACGCCTTTGGTGGACCCTCAAAAAT